AATGTCTTTGTGACATAGTCCACATAGGGTGTTTTTCTTTTAAAGAACCACATAAAGAATGAATACAAAAATAGCATTCTTGCAGGCTTTGCTGCTTCATAATCATTATTATAAATGTTGGCAGAGCTGGCTGCAACCTGACTGAGTTGGCTGGAACCTGAAAGATGAAAACAGACTTCCTGGCCATGACTACATTGTGTGACTCTGATGTGATGCCATGCTAATGGGAGACAAAAGCCAGCTTTGGATCCCATAGTAAATCCATGCCTGATATAACAGCCTTACTGCTCTGGACATTTGCTGAACTCTGCCATAGCTCTTGCATCAGTAACAGTCAGAGAGTGTTTATGTAATTATGTTCCTAACTTATATGAGTAAATTGAATTTAATAACAGCACTTGGGTATTTTGTGCATGTTGGTTGCTGAATATTATAATGTGTCTTACAAAGGGTTATTTTAAGGGAGACTGTAACTGGCCACGCCATAGTGTTGCCTGTATGTTTTATTTATAATAATAATTTAAATAAAGAATATGGTACAATTCTGAATATATATTAAAACCAGCCCCCAGTTATATATCTCTTCATGTTACAATGCAGTCATATTCTTAGTTTGCTCTCACCCAAACTTCTCATGCAGTTACACTTTTAATAAGAAAAGAAATGTTGTCAAGAGTAGTTATTATCACACATCAGAATATTGTATTAGCATTCACTTTTAATATATTAAAATGAAAGATTTTTAAATCTGCCCTTAATGATACTGAAGGATCTTGGAGACACATTGGAAAAGCTTTAGATGAAATGTCATATGATATATATACATCATACATAGGTTCATAAAAGACAGTTCATTTAACTGCCTGCCTTTGTGTTTTGTCTGTTCTGTTTAGACGAATCATCCTCAGGTTAAGTGATGCTTGTGCAGTTAATTTATTTGCTTGAAATCAAACACAGTGAGTGGCATGGAAGTTTAGGGAATATGAGGTTCTGGTAGGGCTGGAAATTATGAGTAAAATAAGACAATTTTGGAGGCATGGAGTATAACCTGGAAAAAAAATCTGGTGGTTGGAGGCATATTTGGGTCCTATCTGCTGATCTTTTGACTCACCCTTTGATTCGGATGTGTTGCTTGAACTGCTGTTGCATAAATCACCTCACTTTTAAAGCTGAATTCAAGGTGGATGTAGTATGAGTTGAGCTGCTCTGGAGGAGGGTTGTTGAGAGATGCCATGCTGTAGAGCCTGTAAGTTACAAAGCACTGCACAGAAAGGTGAAATGATTCAGTATTCGTTTCTGAGGTTTAGGGGCTTGTTTTGGAAGGTTCTGAAACACATGGGATAAAACAAGGGTAGGACCTTCCAGTTGGTCAAATTGTTGACATTTTTTTCTCAGTCTATTGTTTCAATGTGGGATAGTCACATTTAGGCAAGGTGGGCACAGATAGAATGTTCTGCATATGTGTCTCTGAACTTCTTGTTATTGAAGGCTTGGGTACCCTTTATTTTGGCTGGGGTGGGATTTATAGGTTATTATAGGTTATAAATCTGTATTCCAGACTTCTTTGGCAGTTGGGAAATGGGGTGATGAATAAGCAATTCAGCATTGAAGTAGCCATTTTGTTTTATTTTGGCATACAAAAATCATCATTTCACTCTTTTATAAACATTTTAGTAAACACTGAGAACTTGGAGGCATCTCCTGACAATACCTGGTGTAGAAAGTACATGTGTATATGCTTCATCATTTGAGTTTACGGGTGTTTTTCAGGCTCACATCTGAAGTCTTAGGAACTGCCAAGAAGCCATGCACCATGCTGCACTAGACTGAGAACAGATAATAATTTATATAGCTATAAATGAAGTACAAATACTAACATGGCAACAGTGTTAGTGTCAGCTAATACATTACAGTCCACACCCTGCAAATACAAACACTGCAAAAAATATACATTGCATCAAATCTTATTGAACTATACAACCTATTGCACAACATCTTACACATACTTCTAACAAGCAGATGCTAAATATTGCAGTGGCTAAACTCCATGTTTGAATATTGAAGAAATTAAGTAATAAATCAAACATGGGTATTTCTAGGTGTTAACAGGTCACTCAGATTTTACCGCCTTAATACATCAATATATTTTTCTGAGAATTTACCTTAACAAATTAATCTAAAATGTGGTGGAAGGTCATTTCTCATTTAAAGCCAAGCCAAAAGGCCAGGAAGTTTAACTTTAGGTATACTTTGGGTTTTGGTTTCATTGATGCATGATCACATTAAGCCCACAGACCATGGTTGAAGAAAAAACATTTCAGAGCTAGAGGGCCACAAGCAACGAATAGGAAAGGCTGAGATCCAAAATCCTATCAATGCCAGAGGTACCACTAGTAGTAAGGCACTGATCAGGTAGGCAGATGATCCAAGAACAACACACAGAATGAATAAAATTTCCAGGATTCATGGAAAATTACCTTAGGGAAATTTTTCTGTGAATGCAGATTTGGTGATTGTAAGCTTGGGAGCAAGGACAGATGACCAAACATCCAAAAGAGGGAATTATCTGAAAGACTAGTATACTTCATAAAGATTCTTAAATCACAGGATCAGGCATTATGGAAGGCAAAATAAATTGAAATAACCCTTGAGTGTATCTAGCTAGTATGCAGAAAAGAAATTTCTTCATGTTCATTACAACTAAACACATGCAACACAGTATTTGAATTATAGCAGTGTTTGCAATGTAGTGCAGAAAATATATGCAGATAATGAGGGAAATTCAAAATAGGAGACTTAAGGAATCATGGTTTCCAGGGCAGATAGCACTACCATAACCAGCCAGTGGAACTATCCTGTCCATAGGATTTCTTATAAAAATTATATGGAATGCATCATTCTGAAAAAGATATCTAACTTCATTTTAAAATGTCTAAGAAACGATGAGTTTGCTGTTGACATAATGCTTAATTACCTTCTAAAGTAGGAACTTGTATCTTATTTCAGGACTGAATTTCTATAACTCCCATTTCTCAACACTAGATCTCATTATACCACTGTCAGGAAGGTTGACATCTTGCTATCAGACATCTTTCCAGGGTGTAAGTACCAGTCGTAGTGATCAAGGCACCTTTCAGCCTCACGGCTGACAAGCTGATTAAGTTGAGCTCCTGTAGGCCTTTCACTGGAGTGCTTGGTTTCCAACTACAGGCTGCAAAATCTTTCTTCAGAATTTTGCCAGTCCGTATGAGTAGAAGAAAAAATGCGTTTTTTCCTAGTGTGCAAACAATCCAGACGCTAAAAATTTTCTCCAGAACTCTACTTGGAGTGCTAATAAGTAAGAACATTCTTGAATGAGAAAGCTGAAAGAAATGGCAAGTGTAAACAAGAAGCAATAAAGGAACAACCATCAATCCCTGTTTTTATGATCTAATCAAACTATCTCTATTCCATGAAACTCTGGAAATACTCTATTCCCTATGGCAGATCTGTGCCCATGGCGTAATCCTTTCCCTCCCTTTAAACTAGGACTTCTGACCGATAGGCTGTGACTGTCTATTAAATAGCTCTGGCCAGGAAGGGCAGACCATCAGCTGCTGTTCCAGGAGCTGGCACTTGTTCATTTCTACTGCCGCTGTTACAAGCCTTGCAGCCTCTGGCAGAGAAAGAGGATGAACAGCTCGAAGCTGAAATCTTTTCAGCCACCTCAGCAAAAACTGTTAGAGCTCTCTGCCAAAGCCACAGTTTGACTTTGCTGCCTTGGTCTAGTTGAACATACTGCACCTTGCAGGTAGAATATCCCAAGAAGCTCAGCACAGATCAAGAAATACCCATGGGATGTTTCACTACCACCTTCTGTAGGAGCAAAGCAAGCTCACTATTGGGGACTTTTTAAAAAAGCCACTGCATCATCAAAAATAATGGCTCATGTCCAAAATATGTCGCTCTAAGCATTCACAGAAGGGGTCAGGTGAAAGTTATTTCAAACAGACCTCGTAACAGCTGGAAATTTGTGGCTGATGACTGGGGATGGGGATTCCTGCTGTTGTTCATTTCTACTTGAAAGGTTTGAAAAGATTTTCCCTACCTCCTGAGCAGATACTGGGACTATAGTTGCCCTGTTGGCACTGCCACTTGAGCAAGCTTGACAAGAGTTTTGTGGGGACATTTTCCAGATTACATAAGAAGTAGGTAGTTTTACACTTCTTTGTGTTGGTACAGGATGAGGCTTCAGTTCTGACAGTTTTTCTCCAGCTAGACCTTCAGTTTTTAATCAACACCTTTCTATCAGATTCCAATTACTTCTTAACTGCTGCTGAGAGGAGAAAAAGAACAACAAAAAAAGTTTTGTATACATTTCTAGGAATGGTATTTATCATTTAAAGAAGGGTATTTTTGCAGTTCTGATTATGAATGTTTACTTTATTCACACATCAAGCAAACTATCCTCTTATACCATATGGTCAGGAGTTATACTGTTTCATACATTCAGATGTCTGAAAGCTGTCTGGAAATGTATTTCCTACTTTCTGATATGGGAACATTTCAATAGGAGGGGGTTTAATTTGTTTTGAAATTTCAACTCTTGTTCTGCTCCGAAGCTAAAGTTGGAATCCATTAAGATGCATTTTAGTGCAGTTTCTATTCTCATCTTCCTTTTCTCAGTAACTGTGCAATTCACTTAGTACTTCATTACAACCAACAGCAATATGTATACATGGTGCACAAAACGAGCCATTTTGTTTTAAAACAGATTGCAGATGAAAGGAAACCATTCATTTCTTGCTTGCTAGCTGTAATTACTAGAGCGCTAATTACTCCAAATCACTGACATCCAGGGTCAATAAGGATGACAACAGGAACATCAAAGACAAGATGCACACACGCAATTACAAGTCTCTAAAACCAGGCTGTAATATTATTTTATGGCTACTGGTTTTTTTAGTCAATGCTGAAAAATATTCAAGTTTGCTGAATGTTTACTATTATTTCCTTTGCAGTTTGACGGTGAGAACATGTATATGAGTATGACAGAGCCGAGCCAGGACTATGTGCCAGCCAGCCAGGTGGGTTAATTAATCTTCTCTGCCTTGTTTCAAATTGTAATTAAACAAATTCAAAGAGTTGCATTGCAAATGAGTGGCACTATCAGTAACTGCTGCAATCAGGAATAATCATAATTTATAAACAAAGCATTTAAGCCTTGTTTCCAGTTAATGAGATAGAGCTGATAAAACACCAGAGTTGGCGTTTGTTGAAAGATACTACCTTGTTTCCTCTCCAGAATGCAAGCAGCTGTTTTGCCAGCATGATCTTTCCTAAACAGTTGTTTTACCTTCAGGAAATAAAGTCTTTACAGGTGCAGGTTATTTGTTTATCTGACTGCAGACAAGTTAATCATTATAAGCTACACATGTCACAAATAGATTTAATTATCACTTGTAGGCCTGTTGTAGTTGAAGAATTACATTTTTACGACTAATCATATGGCTGAGAAATGTTGCCTGTGTCACACAATTAGTGGTGGGGTTAAGGCAATGATTTGGTTTTCCATAGATTGCAACCCAAAAGGTTTAAAATTTTCCACTTGAACCCTGAGATACTATAGATTTCTAAGAATGAAAGATTTCAATTCCTTCTTAAAAAGCAAAAATAGTTTGAATTTTTTTGGTTTGTCTCTGTAGCTACATCTATATATAGGGGATACATTTTCATTTACTTAACATTTTTCAGTCAGTTTAATTCCACATTAGTAAGTGATGGTGATAGTGGTGCAGGTCAGTTAGATTGTATCAGAAATTGCCCTGAATAATCAGACTTGTGGTCTAGGTCATGCAAGTATCTCAGGCCCAGCAGTGGTTAGACTGATATACTTCTTTCTGATGGGACAGGTAGGATTATGTGAAGAGCTCTCATTAGGTGGGAGATAAGTTTTCATCCATAGTAAATGTGTGTCGATGAACAGGTTGTAATTTAGGAATCCACAACTTTGGAAAGTGACAGTACATTCAAAGCTAAATGTCTTCATGAAGTAGGGTTCTTCAGGTACATGGGTTCATTTGAGGGCAGGGAAGCAGGAGGTTGTGCAAGATGAGCTACACTGTTCAATCAAAAAGACCATCTTTAAAATGTTCCACCATGTTGTTTCCCAGCCTTCTGTTGAAGTTATTCTGAAATACCGTTAGAGACCAACTGTACTTTGCATTTAGGTTTTGTGCATGATTGAAGTTATTCAGCTAAGAACCCTCCAAGATCCAGAGGTAGTTTAGAATAGAACTGTTTGATTAAAAAATGAAAAATTATATTATTAATTTTTCTCTAACCATTAATCCAAAAACTATACTGACAAGTTTTAGTATTACTATTAGATTAAAGCAGCCTAGTATCATCTCATTTATGCCTTAAGGGTTTTGAAGTGCAAGGGCTAATTGAATTTGTTTGAAACAGTAGAAATACAAACTCTGTGAATGATTGCTGTTATAAGGCAGCTGCTACCTTTCAGAGAATCATTATGTCTGTCTTAAATAGTTTTGAATAAAGAATTGCAAATCCACATTATACATCAGAATTATTTTTCTTCTGTTGATATTTTTGTACTGTGTATGCATGTAGTTTAAATAATTTAAATGGCATATTGAAAAATTAAGAGTATAAGTTTTAATCTTTTATGCGGTTTCTACATGTGCTAACAAGACCCAGATCCTCAGAGATATTTATGCATCTAACACTCACTGGTTTCAGTGGAAGTAAGGTGCTTAAAGTACCTTTAAAGATCCAGGCCTAGATATTTTAAGTGCAAATGATTTTCTCTTCAGGAAAAAAATCTATCAAATGTGACATTTCCAAATGACAAAGATGACAGAAAGCCTTGAATGCATACTAAGGGCTTTCGGAACCAAGAAACAGCTTACACACTTAAAATCTTGCTATGGCAAAGCTGAGCTCTTGGCTGTCTGGCTCCCAGGTGGAGTTCAAAACCCAAGGGCAGGTGTTGAAACTCTTTGTCCATTGCTGGGGGATCCACATTGCAAGAGGTAGCCCAGCTGTCAAGCACAGTATTTTAAGTTATTACCAAACGCACAACGGTCAAACAGCCTCCTGTGCCTGTTTGAGAGGAGCTGTCAGCCTTGGGGTGTCTCACCTTCCTTTCCCTTACTGTGATTCTCTCATGGTGCTTACACTGTTGCCATTGTTTTTTAAGTGATATATGTGAAAGCCTGTAATAAGAACAATATTTTTTTTTTAAAAAAAAGGAGACAAAAAAAACCACACTAAGAGCTGGAAGCCAGGGTCTATTGGAAACTGACCTCTCTCTTGTTTTGGCAAGAACCTGGGACTGTGAGAGAAGCCTTCCCAGACATGTTCCTGACTTAGCTGCTAGGCACTCCTCAAAGGAGCTAGGCAGCTCTCCACTGACACTATTGGTGAGGTCTTCACCGACTGTAATGGGGTGCTGTGCCTATCTCAGGCAGAAACATTTGGTGGTCACCCAAAACTGGTGAACTGAATACCATTTCAATCTCTAATCTTCTAGTCAAAACTGGGAAGAATATGATATTCACTGCTCTGAAAACAAAGCATGCAAAACTGTGTAGCTTACTGGGGAAGGACAGGAAGAGGAAAGAATAGGAGTGTATTTTCTGGTCCCCGTTTTCAGGACTGCAACTTCATTTTCCTCTCACTGTTACTGGTGAGTAAAAACAAATAATTCCATAAAAAGAGATGAGAAAATGTTCTCATCCAGATGAAAGCCTAGTCACTTCATTGATAGAGTGTTGTCCTGTCTCCATTTTACCTCTGTTCTCATGAGCCTTGCAGTTGCATGACCTCAGCAAGAGGAGTGCAGGCTCCTTTCCACCCTCAGTAACTTGGCTGTTCTCTTGCAGGATCAGAAATGAGGGTCTGAATCCTGTCAGAATGAGGAGTGAATTCATTTCAACTTTCCTTGATGGCTGCACATCTGTTAACTAAAATATGAATCCCACATGTTAGGATATGCACAGTCCTATCAGAAACTTTTATTCAAGCTCTGATCATCCTGACTGAGTCAGACATGAGCATAATTTTCTAATTTCAGAGTCTGACACAGCTTATTTGAGAGGTAGGTTGGCAGGCTGCGTTGTGGTATGCAACACCAAAGACTGAGGGGTTTCCACTAGGCTGTCTTCAAGATTATGTGACTGTAGAGGCAGGATTTGGGGGATCCTGATGCATGCTGACATGCACTCAAGTTCTTTCTGTTTACTGCAAAGTGTTCATATCCAGAAAACATCACTTTGTATTATTTTAATGGTTTTAATCAATTTATCCCCTTTAGGCTGATATAAACAAAAGCTCAGCCATTGGACAGGAAAAATCTAGTTTTCTTCCTTTTGCTATATAGCTTCAAACATCTGTATAGTTTGGTAATCCAAGACAAGTTGCCTCACAGCATCCCTCAACAATTATCATTTCTGTTCAATTTTCAAATCAGTACATGCTTTGGGACTTACAGACTAAGTTGCTAAGTAGCAACATATGGCTCACTACTGTTCCTGTGATGTTGCTGCAAGCAAATAGCATAATTCTATACTTGAAATGATTTTTACAGAAAGCCAGTGCTGGAACTGAGCCAGAAGTGTAAGTATACAGTAAAAATTAATGATATTCTTTTAAACTGTCCCAAAAGGCTGTTTGGCAATGTTGTCTCTGTGTACATTTTATATATACATGTAAGTACTGTATTTTTGGTTATGATATATGTAGTACAGGACTCTTCACTGCAGGCATCTCCTAAATGAGTTATGCCAGCCATATTAACAAACATACATAATAAAACTACATGACATTTTCACTACTAATTGCACTTCGATCTGAAAATATTTATCATTTTAAAATAAAACTATGCCAACTGCTCTGCATTTCAAACTCACAAATTTATTGTTTTCTCCCCACACCTATAATTGGAATCTCGGAGATGAATTGTTCTTCATGTAATTCCTCCTCCTCTAATTTGTGGGCCATGCACAGCACAGTAGAAAATTATATTGTTTATTTTACATTTCTTCCTAGTCACAATGCAGAATGTAGTTCAAGACTGTTCCATAAAGCCTCAGCACTTTTGTAGCCTTCTGGAGGCCTGATAGATATTAAGGGTAGCAACACCAGCTGCCAAATCCTTTGCACGATCCAAAAGGAAGAGAGAAGAACTGGCCTGGAGCTGATAGTTTAGGGAAATACTCAGTTGCCCCAGTGGGAAGAAAAGAGATACCCAAGGCAGAGGAAGGAATGCTGTTTGCACAGAGGTGGTATTGTCCTCCTGCCCAGAGCTATTCCAGGGAGATCTGTATAAGATACAGATACATGGTCTTTGATACAGTGGGCACCATGGGTAAAAAAACCTGTTTTGTCCTGTACAGCTCCAGGGTAAAAGAGTGAACATCCAATATCTAAACATGCAACATCCAAAGAATGACATCCAACGGAGAGATTTTTCATGTGATTAGAAACTAAAAAGTTCCCCTGCCTTTTGTTCCTGTGTGCACGTGGTCCTTTTTACATGTTTATATCCTAATTTCTTAGAGTATTCATGGGATAGCTATTACTCCTATGAAGTAGGGATGGATTAATGCTACCTAATAACTGCTCTCTCTTGCTCCGTATTGGTCCTTCCCTGAGGTAGATTGGAATTTGAGAGTACTGTATCCCATTCCTGCCAGTAGATAACGGCTCATCTAGAGCCACAGTCAGCAGAGCAAGTCAGGAGTGGGCTCCCTTGGAAAGGATTCAGAAGTAGCAACATTTTTAGATGGAGAATCGTTAAGTGGTCCAATGTAGTCCCATGGGTACTTACTACTTTGAAGTCCAGGGAATTACTGCCCAAAAGCTGGAAAGTTTTTGTTCATTAGTTGACAGGCTGCTCAATGCCGCATGATCAATCTGCTGGCTGTCTGCAGTTCAGGGCTGGTTTGGACTGTATTCCACCTCCCTCTTCCTGGTACACTATCTTTTCATTTCAAAAATAGAGTATCAGGAGAAGGGAGTCCACTTCTTGCCCCTCCATTTCTCTGAAGTAGGCTATAGATGC